AGCTGTGGTACTCTGTTAGTTAAGAAGCCTGTAAAATGTAAAAACCAGCCCCAAATGCTATAAGTGGCTAAATTGTAGAAATGAAGACCAAGATGGTGTGGCCTTCTATTTGTTCGTAGTCGCAAGTTATTAAGTTATAATATAAAGATTGAGACGACGCTGGGAAAATGGAATAAATGAATAGCCAGATCTCAGGATGAGTTTAAAGAGTTAAGCACTTTAGTTATATGGAGAAACAAATATAATGTCGAGGCTTCTTGGTCAAAAATACAAGAATCTTTTGGCCTAGAGATAATCTGAAACATGAAAAAAAATAAACCAAGCAAAAAGTTTACAGGTATATTAGAAGAGAACGTGGACTCAAGTAGACATATTTTCACAAAAATCACAGCAAATAGTCATATAAAGAGCTCAAGTGAAGCCAAAAATACTTGCTAATAAGAACTTACTGAAAATGATGCTTTTAAATTAACAGAGCAAAGGCTATTCGAATCGTTTTCTAATTTTTTACCGTCCTAAGGATTAGCAGAGATTGTTTGTTGGACTGAGTTGGTATGAGGGAAAAAAGAGTAGACTTGTACAAATGTTCTCAATGCTAAATAACAAAGACCATACATTGATTATTCTGTGCCCAGCTTATTGGAATGTAATAAGGCATTTGCCTTGTGTGGGCCAATCCGCAAATGTCATGGTTCTACTTGTTTTGATTAGGTTCAATGCAGAACCACATTTGTGGGTTGGAACACAAAAGACTAGGGCATAGGAAGTCATAGACTTGGCACTATGAATGGAGCTATGATAGGTGTGGCGCAGACTAGAGCTAGTTGGATAACAGTAGACGTGTTTGATCATAGACGTGGTCCATGAAGCAGAGGGTTGACCATGATAATTACTGGAAATCATTCGCCTCAAGTTAGTCTCCTAACCAGTTTGAGAATTCTGATTTTAGAGGACTACTCAGCGAGACTGCGTGCCACCAGAGGCTTGATACAGTGGGAAATAACGCTTCGAGTAGTACACATACTGGCAGGGGTCGAGTGAAATACCTGAACCAGGAGGGTAGGAGGCGAATCCTAATGGGAAGAGGGAGACTCTGATAAGACCTATGACAAGAGAATTGTGGGGTGAGGGGATTACAAAGCCAACATGGAGTTTAGAGAGTTCTCATGAAATCCGCTTAAAAGGGCACACCATACCATATTTAAATAAGCAATTAAGAAATTATGATAATTAGGGGGTGATACGAGTATATATGATTGGTGAATAGCTTAAGGAAGGAGAGATACCACAATTGTTTAGCAGACAATTGGTCAAAAGATCGGTTTCAGTTGTCTCTTTGAGGAGTTGTAGTGTGGTGCTAAGAATGGCAAGGCTCAATGACGATGCCGGCGAAACGTCTGGGAATATACCATTTCCGCGGTCAGACTCTTAAAATTTTTATGCATAATATGGACTCTGGACTAGGTACATTCCTCTAGGTCCTACTACCAATATGACCAAGTTGCGAAAACAGGGTCAGACAACTTCCATACAACTCCTATACCTCAAAAGAAGACTGCGATAATACAAAATTCCACACCATCTAGGTCTTCCTATCTTCAAATACAAGGCATTTTTGATTTATCCTATTCATGAATATGAAAAGTGAAAGTCTGTTGTGCTAAATTAGACACAAAAATATTAACAAGGATTGAAGGAAGCCACGCTTTAAAAAACTTGTTACCGTGGGAATAGCTCATCACCTACTGTGCTGTATAAAATGCTAGGTCCTGTTGGATGTTGAAAATTACAAGAAATTATCGAAATAGAGGTATAATTTACTCATATGAAATGTATTCACCCAATTTCGTGTAAGGTGTTGAAGGACTGGTAGAAGAATTTTCCTACAATGATATGAGTAGAGCTGACGTTTCC